TATATTACATAGCTATATTTAAATAGATAAAAATACTTATGTTAATTATTAAGTAACTTATGAAACGTCAACGAGTGTCACAAAATGAATGACCTTTGTTGTATATCAAACTACAATCATTGAGATTATTGCTTTACTTCAAAATTACTTTCTCTTTGAGAATGAATTTCCAATGTTGTAATATTACGTAGAAGTATGCAATATCTGGATATTCTTCTGAGATTTTGATATTTACCAGAAAACCAAGTAGTAACGTCGAAACGTAATATTCACTTGTCGACAAAGTACTAACTCAAGCGTCACTATTTAATTCGGTCTTTGCAAATGTTACCCACTTCGTAGTAATTAATGCGGCCAGATCTTTATTTCACAAAGAAAAGCGTCGAGACAGAGAATCGTAATAGCAAAGTACTCGAGCTTTAAACTGACGGACGTGCGAGGAAATGTTTTATTCGCAGAAACTTCGTGGCGAGATCGCTTCCACAGGTATTCTTTTATTTCTTCGCGAAAAGGCGAAAAGGCGTAAAGTCCTTCAGAAAGATCGAGAGAAAGAAGGAATTTCACAAAGAATGAAATAGAAATATCAGCCATGATGTTTTACATTTTCAGTTTGCTCATTAATGCATGAGAAATTAAAAAAATGTAAAAAATGAATATTATCAACTAAGCACTATTTCTTATACTATTTAGAAAAATCTAATGTTAATTGTCACTTTTTCTTCCTTACTATGTTTTTTGTGGTCATCGCAAGAAGATTTATTAAAGAGATCATTAAAAATAGAGATAGAAATCATTAAGATAATTTTATAATTCATATAAAGAAAATAAATTGTAATATACAAGACGTTCCAAAACGAATTTCCTTTTAAGAGCAGGTTTTTTGAAATATTCTAAGACAAAAAGTCTAATATAAAAATGTCCAAGTTATAATTTTTAAATTATTAGCAATTGAAGTTCATAAATGACATAAAGCTGATATTTCTGCATTAAGACATGATAATATAATTGTGCTACCACGAATCGGATCTCTTTAACAATATCAAAATTATCGAATTATAAATATGCAATGATATTTTTATGCAGAGATTTTGGGACATCTTACATAGTGATTTAAAAGATTAATTATAAGTAATTTGTCTTAGAAAAAGCTAGCTTTTTCTAACATAAATACTTGCAGCTGTTGCCATATTTATGATATTAGTTTTATGATAATAAAAAACTAAGGTTTTATTCATCTTAATTAAATTTAGTTGTTTGATGGATATTGATTTTCAATATCGCTATTATATATAGGATATATTTTATATATAAATTTTACTGCCAATAAATGTCAAGAGGGAAAATAGGATCGCAAAATAGGATCAATGAAATAGAAATATATCTCGACGGAATGTATCAATGTAGAATTGAGATGAAGCATTGGCTAGAAAAAAAATACAGATAAATATCTCTCTCTCTCTCTC